ACAGGGAAGACCAGATCAACAGGCTTATTAGAAGGATGAACTAAGGTATCTACCACGGTGGTTTTTTTTTTTTTAATATATATATATATATATATATATAATTTTATTGAGAAACAAATAGCAATGAGACAGTTTCAACTCAAATTGGTAGGACAGTTTCAATAATTAACACATTGCATACAGCCTTCCTAGTGGTTAACTGCTGTACAAGAGGCGGACATGATATCCTATTTACAAACACTATTAGAACAAATCACTCTATTCATTAAGAGAATGTAACTATATATCTATCCTAACCATTTTGAGTACACAGATACAAAATGGACATTCATCTGTATACCCTTTTTTGTTTAGTTCTGTTATTTGAATATTATAGGTGTGTTAACTCATCAAAATATTCTAAAAGAGTCCAGTAGTTCATAATAGCATTGGGTCTTCCGCTTCACTGGCAATGTCAGAAATTGTTGACCTGAGTCCCTACAGCTCAACATAACAGCATGGCTTTACTTCTTATACTTCGTTTTTATACTTTTCTGCTGGGTGGTTAAGACCAAGGTAAAGCAGGACCTGTGCAATAAGAGTTGTGGCTTTGGGGTCTGATAAGGTCAGTGAAATCCCCTCAGGATTTATCCTGAGATCCTGTACCTCAGATTGTAGAATCTTTGTCAGTGTCAGCCACGTGGATGAGTCACGGCCATTGCTTGGCCAATGTGTTCTCTGTACCACGGTGTTTTTATGATTTGGTCAGTTAATAAAGTATCTGCTTCCAAATTGAAAAAATAAAATAAAAGTAAAATTCAAAATTATATAAAAAGGAAACCCTAGCAAAATAAACAGAGATGGCTCAGTAGAATAAGCACTTCCCTGGCAAGCACAAGGGCCTGAGTTCAATCCCTGGTTCCACAAAAACCAAGCCAAAACAAAAACAAACCAACAGAGGGGCCAGGGAGATGGCTCAGTAGAATAGGAGCTTCCCTGGCAAGTACAAGGGCCTGAGTTCAATCCCTGGTTCCGCAAAAAACAAAACAAAAACTGATAAATGTGTCAAATAAATATCAAGCCCTCCTTTCCAGAGCATAGCACAGGGGTTGAAACCTCTGAACTGATAAAGAGGGGCTGAGAAATGGAAAGAGAAGCTGGCGGTGGGGTGGGTGTATATTGTAATTCTAGCACTTGGGAGGCTGAGGCAGTAGGATCTCCGTGAGTTCAAGGCCAATCTGGGCTATATAGTGAGTTAAAGGTCAGTCTGAACTCTATAGTGAGACACCATCTCAAAATCAAATAACAGACTAAAGCACCTGCTTAGTTTTTTTTTTTTTTTTTTAAATCCAGGGGTTGAACTCAGGCCCTTGTGCTTGCCAGGCAAGCACTTATTCTACTGAACTATCTTCCCAGCCCCAAAGCACCTGCTTAGAGTGCACCAGCAGGGTTTGATCCCCTGCATGCAGTGCTGGCCCCGCCCCTGGGGTGCACTGAGAGGCGACTGAAACTGGGTGTGGTGGCACATGCCTGTAATCCCAGTGCTTGGGAGGCTGAAAACAGGAGAATCACTATGAGTCAGATCTACGCAGCGAGACCCTGTACTAAATTCATAAAAATAAATAAATAAACAAAATAACAGAAAATAAAATTAAAGGGCTGGGGATGTAGCTCACTGCCAAAGCTGAGTTCTATAGTAACCCCCCACCCAAAAGGAAAAGGAATCTTGTGAAGACATAGGTTGCAATTCAGAGGGGAAAAGATAGTTTGACCTCACTTCATGCCATATATGAAGTAAATTCCTGAAGACCAGTGACTCACCAGAGACTTGCCAAACAAACCCTTCACCGCAGTGGCACTGACCTCTGGTTTAACCTGCTGTGCTTTGCAAATGCTTGATGTGTTTCTTCCTGGTGCGGAGGGACTTGACCTTTCGGTAACATTTTTTTGAAACACACCCTTCCCTGGTGTCTACAGTGCCACATCACCTGACTGTCCCCAACATCACCAGCCTTCCCTTCTTACCCCTGGGCTGCAGTGCTGTGGGGCAGGTGGGGAGGCGGCCAGGTTCACAGTTTTCTGAGCAGGTGCGGAGCACCTCTAATTGGAGCAAGGCAGGAGGCTGAGGTGCAGGATTACTTGAGTTTGGGATTTTAAGACCAGCCTGGGCAATGTAGTGAGATCCCTGCCTCCAAAAAGTAGGGGAGCTGAGGGGAGCAGGACCTACTGGAGGACTGGGGAAGATTTGGGGAACATGAGCCTGGGATAACTTGAAGATTCTTTTTTCTTTCTTTTTTTTTTTTTTTTTGGCAATGGGGATTGAACTCAGGACCTCGTGCTTGCCAGGCAGGCACTTAAACCACTGTACTATCTCCCCAGCCCCTTGAACTCACTTTGTAGTCTAGGGTGGCTTTGAACCCACAGTGACCCCCAGGCTCAGCAGCTTCCTGAGTGCTGGGATTCAGGCGTGCGCCACCATGTCTGGCTAGCTTGAAGGTTCTTAACCTAAGCAAGTTTGCGTTAGTCATGTTCTGTTTAGGGCACTATGGCATGCAGGGAGAAGCCAGGGGAACGCTGGGTCAGGCTTTGTAGAACAGAGGATGGAAGGTGGGCTTCAGAACCTGGAACATGAAGAAAATGTGCTCACCAGGGAAGATTTGGCCAAACTATCACCTTAGAGACTGATGCCTGTGGAGTTAGCGATGTGGCACTCATTGGTTACTTTGACAGATGTGTGCATATGTGTGCAGATGGACAGAAATTGAGATCCTTCCCCTTTCTGGACTGTACATTCTTTCCCCTTGGGTTCCTTGTAACACTTAAAATGCTGGGAGTTTTCTGAGACAGCGAGTCTCCTGCTTCAGCCTCCCAAGTGCTAGGATTACAGGTGTGAGCCACCATTCTGGGCTGGGTTTTGTTTGTTGGGGTTGGTTTTCCTCTAGGACTGGGTATTGAACTGAGGGGCATTCTACTACTCATTTGAACTTGTAGTTGTCCTGCCTGAGCCTCACATGTGCTGGAATTAGAGGCATATGCTCCCAGGTCTGGCTCAAAAAAGGCTGTTATAAATGAATCCTTTGCCTTTTCTTCCCATGTGCCCTATGTGACCCTGGAGCATAAAACAGGGCCCAGGACACAGCAGGAGCTTAATACGTTTGCTGTGTGAATGAGTAAAAACCGAAAGAAGAAAATAGGAAGCAGGGAGCCTGGGTACAGAAAATACAAGTTATTTGGGGGCCAGGGAGATAGCTCAGAAGGATAAGCGCCTGCCTGGCAAGTAAAAGGTCTTGAATTCAATTCCTGGTACCGTACAACAAGAAGTTATTTTTCACCTTTGGAGAGGTAAAGACTTTCCAGTGAAATGGAAGGGAAGAACAATTTGCTCTGAAGAAGATTCACCTTGAGACCCTTTTCCTGAAGCCAGTCTGAATCGAGATCAACTTGGTAAGATCCTTTTTCATGGCTAGGATCATGACATTTCAGCTCTCAGAGAAACGGCTCACCCCCTCTGAAGTTGGGTATGTCATCTACTTCAGACAAAACACCTTCCCCAGTGGAACTCCATAAGGGCTTTATTTTTATAGTCCTCAGGAGCTCCTTTACTACTGTGATAACCCATGTAACCAATCCGAAGACATCCGTTTTCCTCCCTCGTTACTGGACATTGAAGCTATATACACACAGATGAGTGCTCTACCACTGAATTACATTTCCATCCCTTTTTAAATTTTATTTTGAGATAAGATTTCACTAAGTTGTCCACGCTGGCCTTGAACTTGCAGTCCTTCTGTCTCAGCCTATGAGCTGGGATTATAGGCCTGCACTATGTCTACTGTCAGGCCTGACCTGACAGTGACCTGAGAGAAATCTGGGCTGCCTACTACAAATAATAGCTTTCCACTATTCCTTCTTTTCTCTTTTCTTTTATTAGACAGGGTGTCACCATGCAGTTCAGGCTGGCCTTGAACTCATTTTGTAGCCCAGGCTGGCCTAGAGTTCCCAGTGATCCTCCTGTCTCAGCCTCCCACATTCTGGAATCACAGTCACCATGCCCAGCTGACTCTCCATTATTGGTAATGGTTTGCCTCTGCGAGAAAGAATTGAAGGTCATACAGGAACTTAGGACTGTACTTAAAGTCTTCTTGGCGCCGGTTCTATCTACACACCTGTATTGATTTTCTCTGCAATTTTGACTTCAAACATTTCATCTGGATCCTTTGATACTTCGACCCCCACTCTTAACTCTATACCTTTAGCCTTTCCCTCAGATAGCTGCTTATATCACTCCGATGTCAGCCTGCTTGTACATAGGTAAATAAATAGGTAGCTGATCCTTCCCACAGCCTCAGTTCTGGGTGCTGTCTCATGCTGCCATTTACCTAAAACTAATCTAGCCCTCTCTTTTGTTCATGTGTGTACTTGATCCAGCAACAAGTAAATTAGCATATCCAAACGTTGGCTCTTTTTTCCCCAGTCTTTTTTACTAATATGCTTGCAGTACACAAGTACACACTGTTTAGATTCTTTGGGAGGAACTGGTACATGTACCTAACACATCCTAATTATTTTAAGAAATTTACCTAGCTCATCTTCCACAGGTTAAGTGTTTGGCTTAACATTTAGTTCTGATTCATTTTGATTTTAGTTTCATACATGGTGAGAGATATGGCTCTATATTTAACCTTGTGCATATGAGTAGCCTGTTTTCCCAGCAGCATTTATTAAAGAGGCTATTTTTCATCCAGTATATGGTTTCAGCCCTTTTGTCAAAGATTAAATAATGGCCAGGTATGTGGCACACACCTGCAATCCCAGCTCAGGAGGCTGAGGCAAGAGGATTGTCACAAGTTGGAGGCCAGCTTGGGTTACAAAGTCAGTTCAAGGCTTGCCTGAACTATACAGTAAAACCCTGTCTCAACAAGAAATAGTGGAACATGTTTGAGGCTTCTCCTGCACACTTTATTCTGTTCATTGATCTGCATGTCTGTTTTTTGTGCCAGCACCACACTGTTTTTTTTTTCACTTTTAAACTTATTTTATTTGTTAAAATAGTTATATCTGTGCAAGTGAAATGATTTTTACCATAATACAATTCATGGATTGTGGCTCTTGCCCTCTTGCGGCATCCAGGACCCGGGCTGGAAGGCTTTCCCAGTGCTGGTGGGTGTCGCTGAGGGCTCCTCCTTTCCAAAGTGTGGAGCAGAGGCATGCCCTTTAATTTGAATCTGAACTGGTGGAGGCAAGAGTTCTTCGCTGGTCTCTTTACTAGGGAGCTTTTCTTTTTCATAAAAATCTTTGCTTTTCATCTTCATTTCTTCTCTGTACTTTTCATTCTGTAGTATTTCCTCCATGGTGGGTGGGGTATTTCTTTTTCTTCTAATCCAAGCTTCCCATTCTGTTGGGATATCACCCACTTCATATTCAATTTCATTTCTCTTTGCTGCTTCTATAATCCTTTTCTCTCGAATAGTTTGTCCTCTCCAGTTCGTGTACTGCGGGATACAGTAGTATTTGTTCCCGAACTGGTCCGTGCCCACGTGCTCCTTCACCTCCTTTGACAGCATCCTCCAGAGGGCGCGGAACAGGCTCTGCGGCCCACCCATGCTGGACCCTCGGTTCCC